CAAAAAAAAAAAGAACATTTACAATTTTTAGATGTGAGTTTCAGATATGAGTTTCCCTCACGTTTGGCCAAGGATGCAAATTTGAGTCTGTAATAAATTACAGTGCGTTGTAAAGACTAAATGCACTTTTGGATTGAGTTCGCTCCTTCCTCCACCCTCTCCTCCACACAGCTGCCAGACTAATCCTCCAAAAACACCAATTTTCATATGCTGCTTTTCAAAACTAGCTTCCTGGCTTCCTGTTGCCTGAAAAACAGTCTCGAATGCTTTAAGTCTGGCATTCAAGGCTCTCTGTGGTGTGCACGCTGGCAAACATTTGACACACAAGCAAATTGGGCTCCTGGACAGGGTCTCATCTGTATAATATTGGGGGCACCTGGGTGTGTGGTGGAAGAAATGATCTAGGGCTAGTTATTCAGAGACCCGTGGCTCCACTGACCCGGCCAAGGTCCCACGCACTTCTTAGACACATTGGCTTACTCAGTAATGGTCTAGAAGGCTATTACTGGGTCACACGCCAAAGCCCTCGAGTCGGGAGTTATCGTGACGTTGCCACTGCCTGATCACATGGACTGAAAGTGGGAATAGCGGTTTTCCAGAAGAAAACTGGGGCATTATCCTGAGAAGTCAGGTGGCAAAACAGCCGAGATCCCCTACAACTGCCTTAACGCACTCTGGACAAAATTCAAGGAGACAAGCAAACGAATGAACTCTCATGAGGCCTCTTCCACCAACCACACGGTTTTATCATGCGAATACAGCTGAGGGAGCACTGTCCCGTTCTGGAATGTAAGGAGTCTCCGGTTGCCCCAAATCCACACACTCCCATTACAGCCGCTTGAAAAAATTTTTTTTCATGTTTATTTATTTATTTTGAGAGAAACAGAGCACAAGCAAGGGAGGGGCAGACAGAGAGGAAGAGAGAGAATTCTCAGCAGACTCCACGCTGTCAGCATGGAGCCCGACATGGGGTTTCAACCCACGAACCGTGAGATCATGACCTGAGCTGAAATCAAGAGTCAGACTCTTAACCCACTAAGCCACCCAGGCGCCCCAAATTTTATGTAGATGAGACCCTGTCCAGAAGCCCAATTTGCTGGGTTCATTGTACACATGTACATACCCTCAATAATAACTTTTTATCTCAGGTTGCACAAATTTAAGGAACACTTAGCCAAAATGATGTAAAATGAACAAAAACCACATATTCTGTGATGAATCAAATAAAGTATATTTTGAGTTGCTGTTTTCTCTCTTTAAAGATAACATTTCTGATAACTGTCATCTGTGAAAAGACCAACAGTTGTGTGTGTGTGTGTGTGTGTGTGTGTGTGTTTTCTCTACTTAAGGCTGTAGCGAGGTTGTCTTGAATAAAGGTCTCAAAGTTTGCCTGAACACTTTCAAGGCAAATTGTCAGGTTGAGTGTGTCACACACACACACACACACACACACACACACACACACACAAACGGCTTCCATATATCTTCAGTGCCTTTCTTTTACACATGCTCTCTTCCTGGTTTAAGCCTTCATTATCCCAGTTCTGTAGTGAAACAGTATTTGCAAATCTCTCTTGACTGTAAACTCCTAAAAGTTGGGGACTTTTCACCTTGGTTTCCCCAGGGCCTGGCATTTTGTTTGGTGGCTGGGGGTGGGGGGCAATGGGCAGTTCAGAAAGTATGTATTTGAAGCTATGACTCAATCCGTTGATCCATGCTATGCACAAACATTACAACACATTTCTTGTAATGAAGGCAATAGGAACTTCTTACAATAAACTAAATTCTAAGAATGAAAACAGCAAGGTAGCTGCTTTATTTGTACCTACTATGTGAGAGGCATTGCTTTATTTTTTAAATGTTTATTCATTTTTGAGAAAGAAACAGGATGAGCAGGGAAGAGGCCCAGAGAGGGGGACAGAAGATCCAAAGCAGGCTCAGCACTGACAGCAGTGATCCCGATATGGGGCTCAAACTCACAAACCGTGAGATCATGACCTGAGCCAAAGTTGGATGCTTTTCTAACAGAGCCACCCAGGCACCCCTTGTTTTGTTTTTTAGTGTTTATTTAATTTTTGAGAGAGAGGGGTGGGGGAGAGGCAGAGAAGGTGACAGAAGATCTGAAGTGGGCTCTATGCTGACAGCAGCCAGCCCAATGGAGGCTCGAACTCATGAACCATGAGATCATGACCTGAGCTGAAGTTGGACGTTTAACTAACTGAGCCACCCAGGGACCCCTGGTTTAGGTCTTTTTATAGACACATTATTCTGTTGAACTTTCACAATCCTGTAAATTCTTAGACACTCAAGAGTTTGCACTGCTCGCCAAAGTAACCCAGGCTCCCAGTGATAGGTGCATGAGTCATATCCAGCATGCTGGACTCTGTGATTGCCAAGTCCACTATCCCCATGATTCTGAGATTCATGAGTATGCAAGCACTATCAGGAAATGTAAAGAATGTCCATTTTAAAGAGTGGGTTTTTAAAAAATTTTTTTAATGTTTAGCTATTTTTGAGAGAGAAAGAGAGCGGACAGGGGAAGGGCAGAGAGAGAGACACAGAATTTGAAGCAGGCTTCAGACTCCGAGCTGCCAGCACAGAGCCCAATGTGGGGCTTGACCTCAGGAACTGTGAGATCATGACCTGAGTCGAAGTGGGACGCTCAACCGACTGAGCCGCCCAGGCACCCTTTTAAAGAGTGTGTTAAAACCCTCTTTGGCAGCAATAGAAGCAAAAGCAGAATGACATAACATGACAGCAAATAGCTTGTATGGGAATCTGTGGGAATGATGGTGAATGAGAAGTGTTTATAAATTAGTTCTTTTCAGGGCACCCGGGTGGCTCAGTTGGTTAAGTGTCCGACTTTGGCTCAGGTCATGATCTCACGGTTTGTGAGTTCGAGCCCCATGTCCAGCTCTGTGCTGACGGCTCAGAGCCCGGAGCCTGCTTCAGATTCTGTGTCTCCCTTTCTCTCTCTCTGCCCCTCCTCTGCTCGTGCTCTGTCTTGCTCTGTCTCTCAAAAGTAAATAAACATTGAAAAAAAATTGTTTAAATAAATTAGTTCTTTTGTAAATTGCAAAAAACCCTTCTCATTTGTACTGTACACTTTGTAGTTTACAAAGCACATGGGAACAGTGAAGATAATGATGGGTTATGATTGCAATTCATGGAAAAAGGAGGTACAAGGAAATTGAATGAAAGGAAATAATAATTTACAATTCATAGTCAAACTTCGTTTAAAAAAAATTTAACCAGAAAGTACATTTCCGCCACCTATCTTCTGTTTGGTACAATGAAGAATGAGAGTGATACAAAGATGATTTCTAGTTCAGGGCTTTGAAAAGCAAACCAGCTTCACAGCAATGCTTGAGCTTACACTGCTAACAAGATAGCCCAGTTTGATCTGCGGTTCCTGCCAACCAACTTCAGAAATAATTCCATCTTCATGAGAAGTCAGCAAGAACCACAAACCAAACCTCAAAACAGATTCTAAGAGAAAACACTCAAAAAAAAATTTCCCTTCCTATCAGAAGCAGCCCAGAAGGAAGCTTCCGCTACCACTTAGAAATTCCCCCAGATAGCTTCATCTAGTAGGTTATTTTCTTCAGACACACAGAGGGTCACTCTTCTCTGAGCCTTTGGTCTCTTCCATGGCCTATTCCAGAGACTAAGACCCCAATCCAGAGAGTGCCATGGGCCTCCGGACCACTAAACAGATGAGGAGAAGCACGAAACAAGCCTCTGGCCACCACGAAGGTGTGTATGCATGTGCTGCTTTTCTGCATGTTTCAAAGCTGGGGCTTGAGCTGGAGGCTGCTCCTCTAATGATAAATTGCTGATACTGCATTTTCTAAAAACTATTACAGTATCTCTTACACACCAGTTCCTGTCTTTCCATCCGCATGTGCCAAGGCAGAGGTGGATTCTTTAAAAACCCTTACGGGAGTCCTAGTCCCTTTCAATTGCTTGTAACGTTTGTGTAGTAGATTTGTGATTGATGGTGGGTTTAATTAAAATATAAGTATCTCAGTGGGTTAAGCGCCGGGACTTCAGCTCAGGTCATGATCTTGCACCCAGTGAGTTCCACCCCACTGTCGGGCTCTGTGCTGACAGCTCAGAGCCTGGGGCCTGCTTTGGATTCTGTCTGCCTCCCTCTGTCTCTACCTCTCCCCGGCTCATGCTCTGTCTCTCAAAAATGAATAAACGTTTTTAAAGAAGTTTTAAAAACTACAACTATCTTTAATACAATCTTGGTAAACGATTCCAGTCTGTGCTCACGTAAGTAACTGGTGCATGTTCCCTTTTAAATTAAACCTTAGTGGTTTTCTTGTAAGAACCAATTCCGCATTTCCGAGAGAACCCCCAGCTATTTTTGAGAAGGGCTGTACGGGTGTGGATCCGGCGCTCTCTCCTTCTCCTGCCTTTGTGCAGCATCAATCCTGGAGGTCATGCAATCACTAATGCCAAAGAAAAATCCAAACCGAAATTGTTAGCGTGCGCCATCATGCAGAGCGGCATATGCTGCCTGGAGACGGGGAGACTGTTTGAATATCAGATCGCGGGGCCCCGCGGTGAGACTGCTGCGTCGCGGCTGCCGGCGCGATTAGGGGGCCGGCACGGCGACCCGCGACTGCGGCCTGGGTTTAAGGCCCCTGATTTCTTCGCAGCCAGTCCAGGACGGCGCAGGCCAGCGCGGGGAGCCCGGGCGCGCGGCAGGAAGGACGCCGGCCGCGGGCGCAGCCCGAACTGGCGACGCTGGGGGCACCCGCGGGCACCCCCCTGCCTCCGCGCCCCGGCCCCGGCCCGCGCCCGCGGAGAGAGGGAGGCGGCCACGCCGAGAAGGGGCTTTGCTAATTGCCAAAGCAGGAAGTGAGCACGCGGAGGACGCTGCGGAGAGTCTGGGAGGAGGTGGAGGTGGAGGCGCAGGAGGAGGGGCGCGCAGAGCCGCGGTGGTGAGCTCCGGGCGCGTCGCAACCGCAGGACCTGCCGTCCCGGCCCTCCCACGCCGTCCCCGAGGCCGCGCAGCTCCCTCGGGCGCTCGTCTGCCCCACCCCGCCCCATGGCTTTCCCGGACGACCCTCTGCGCGCAGGTAAAGTGACACCGCGCCGCGCCCTCACCTGGAGCGGGAACCGCGGGCCGCGAGCGCGCCAGGCGCCCGCCGCTGCCGCGGGGCCGTCGGGGCCGAGCCTCCCGCGACCCCCCGGGGGCTTCCCGGGAAGACCCTGGACGGGGCGCCGCAGCCGGGTCCGCGCGGGGTCGGGCCGGGGACCGCGGCGGCGCCGGGCCGGGGACCGCGGCGGCGCCTGGGGCCCCGAGCGCGCGGCGCGAGGCTCCCCCCGCGAGCGGCTGCCGATCCCCGCGGGTCTCGCTGGCCTCCTGCGCCCCCACGCGTGCCCGGGACGCGCCTTCCCTCTCCGCGCGCTGTGGCCCCCGCCGCTTTTGTTCTGGACTCAGGATCCCAGGTTGAAACAAGTCTCTCAAGCCTCTCTGGCAGGGAAGTGCGCAGGAGTGGATTTCAGTTTTTCCTTCCTGGCTCTTCCTTTCTCCCCACTCTAGTTCTGTGAGGCCAGAATCTAGATCTTTCTTTAATCTCTTACTTGAATTTAAGGAACCCCTCAGACTTCACTTTCCAGGATTTCTACCTTCGATCTCCCATTATGTGGGGATAAATGAATGAATGATATATTCCCCAGGGCACACTAGGGCTTTTTTTTCCTTTTGCTGAGGTTGGAAAAGCTGGGGAGAAAACCACGTGTACAGAACTGCCCGTAACTGCTTAGATCAACGTGTTTCCTATTTTATGGCTTGGGCAGGGACAGTGCTCGAACATTCCATCATTAATCTGTGGCTTGAGCAATTAGGAGACAAAGCGTGCTGCATTTTGGACAGTTTCCTGGAGATTTTGAAGCAAGATTTAAATTCTTCAAGTGGAAAGTGGTAAACATGTTTTCCGTGGAAGATGGGAAATGAATAAATTATCTCGATCTCCTTTCCCTCCCCCCACCCATACCCACTGCTTGGTGGGGGGAACCAGGAAGTGAAGGGAGAAGTACATGGCCATCCCCACTCACCTCCACATCCAGCTCTCCCAAGAACCTAATGGACAAAGTTACCAAGAAGTGTTAGGCCTGATTATACCGACAGTGGTCTCAGATCTCACTGCATGATATTGGTTGCAGGGCTTCAAAAAGATTTGGGGGGTACAGGGATCCATGGAGTGGGGACAAGGGTGAAATCTGCTTGGGCGTCCATCCAAAATTAACTTCCCAGAACAGACAGGCCAAGGAACTGCCCCTTAATAGTGATACAATGTATAAAAATCTTCAGTGAGTCATGGGGTGAAGAGGCCACCAGGGCAGCTAACATGTCTTAGCTGCCGCAGAGGGCTCCAGGTTCTAGAATTCCTGTCGTAGTGTTCTTGCCCGGCCTGGCCCAGCCCAAACGGGTGCTCCCAAACCTGGAACAAAGGACTTGGAAATCCCAGCCCATGAGGCGTGACGAGAGAGGATGATGATAGGAAGGAACTGGTCTCCTTAAATTTAAGAGGCAGAACCCAGATCTGTAGGTGAAATCTTTCTAGCTTCACACAAAGTAGGGAGGGACCTCCTAAGGTAGGAGTCTTCCTGGTCACTTGCAAAGATATTGAAGAACCTATTCAGGCATCCGGAAGATGTCCCCACGTCCGTTCCCACTCTGGGAGTCTATCAATGAGATGAGGGTTCCTCCATCTAAAAAAAGATCTAAAATGACTTTCCCTTTCTCATCTAATTTCTGAAACCTCCAGCACACACCCGCCCACCCCTTCCATTCCTGTAACGAAGCCACAGATGGTGCCAATTTGTGGGACTCATTAAAGGGAATCTTCACCTGGAGCTCCCATGCGCTCTCACCTGACTCGCTGCCCTCACCGCCCCCTGCTGTGTTCACACCTCCACTCGCCTTTCACCAGCCCCTTCACCAGAGGGTGGCCCGAGACATAGCAGATCCTGTCATTTGTCAACTGAAGAAAGCTGCATGGACTTCCTAACAAATTCTGAGCCCTTCAGAGGTTTTCGTATTCTGTACAACCACCTCTACCTACCCCCACTGTCCCTGCCTTTTTGCACACCTTGTTCCCATTGTCTGGAAGGCCGCCCTCGCCTCCCCCTACTCCAGTTAGCTCCTACTTATTCTTCAGATTTCAGCTCCAAAGCTCCTGGGGTATACACCCCTCCATGCACCTGGATCTTTCCTTTCTAGCACTAGCCTCCATTGCTAGCTGTGATATGTCACCCATGTCTCTCCTGAGATAGACCGGAGACAGAGCTCACACCTGTCCTGGTATTTGGTGATGTGGTTTTCGGGGGGGGGGGGGGCAAGTGTGGATCCAGAGCCAAAAGACAAGAAAGAATTCTTGAGACGTTTTGGTGCAAAAAAAAAAAAAAAATTATTAAAGCACAGGGACAGGGCCCCGTGGGCAGGAATCCCTGCCCAGAGATAGTGAGGAGTGACTGGACTACTTGGGAGCTAGGGGGGGCGGGGTGGGGTGGGGTGGGGTAAAGGCAAGAGGAAATCTCCAAAAGCATTTTCATATGCTAAAGAAGACTGTTATCACGCTAAGGTTGCTTTCCCCTCAGGCAAAGCCTCGACGCTGAGGCATAGGGAGTTCCTGGAGAAATGTTACATGCTGCCCCCCCCCCCCCAAGTATTTGTCAATGGGCTGCGGGTTATAAGGCAATTGAATTTTGTCTACCATTTCCTTCGGCCTCTGTTTCCCACATCACTCGGCGCTTAGTAAGCTCTGGTTACATACTTACTGCCTCACTGAATGAATGAAAGAATACAGTTTAACCACATATGCTTCAGACTGTTGGCAGAAAAAGCTTTTCTTGTTTTGACATTTTAGAAACTTCTTCATTCGGTTAGGTAGGTCAACTGAGTTTACCTTGTAAAGTTTAAAAAAAAAAAAGATGTTTGTGTCTCCACATGCAGACCACAAAGGTGTATGTATACTATTATACCAGGTTATGAGCTTCATGTAAGGGAACAACTTTTTGCACCAAGAAATCTACAAGACTGTTGAGGTCACATGGAAGAAAAAGCCATGCTCGTTCCAGTATAGCTGTATCTCACTCCATCTCTGCCGCAAATAAAAATTGAACACGGAATGAATCAGAATCGTCTGTCGGAAGGGAGTCCAGTCTGGCTCACATTCATACAGACTTCAAGGCAGAAACGACGATAGAGGCTTTGAAAGCCTCGGTTGAGAAGGTGGGGGTGAGTCACTGTGATAAACTAACTGCCCAGGGCCACCAGCTCGTGGGCATGTGTCCTTCCTTTGTTCTGGGGTCCCTGTTTGCACTGTGCTTCGAGGGTGCTGGCGGGGGAGCAGCTTAGGACAGCCCTCGGTGGCCCCTCACCTCTCACCGCCCCTCCCCGCCCCCACTGTGAACTCAGGTGGGTCCCAGGCAGCAGTGGGAACAGAAACCGGGACAGAAGAGCCACCACTTCAAGGAGCACAGGTGTTTGACAAGCCGGACCAGCCAGCCCTTCTTCAGATGCACTGGAGAGCCGTGGCAAGCTGGAATCCTCCCCCCTCCTCTCCTCCTCCTCCTTTTTGAGGTTTATTTATTTTGAGAGAGAGAGAGAGAGAGAGAGCATGTGCGCAAGCAGGGGAGGGGCAGACAGAGAGGGAGAGACAGAATCCCAGGCAGGCTCTGTGCTGTCAGCGCAGAGGCCTGATGTGGAGCTCCAACCCTGAGATGATGACCTGAGATGAAGAAATCATCTGAGCCACCTGAGCCACCCAGGTCCTCCCCTGTATGTGTACTTTCTTGACCCCTGGTCCTTTCCCCATTTGCTCAGCACCTGCTGTGAGGTCTGCAGGTGACAGGGAGGAGAGAGAATGAACTGTGAGTGAGCACCGCCCAGAGCACTGCTGCGCGAGACCTTTTGTAGCCCCGAATATGGTTAGGGCTCAAGGGCTTCTTCGTCACCAGGAATGAACACAGCTGTCGGTCAACAGAAAAGCGATCACGCACACAAGATCATAATAGCAGAGGAAAAAGAAGTTCACTCTGAAATCGCAGATTCAAAGACGTGTCTTGAATTCTTCACAGGAGGCTTCGCTCTCATGCTCCTGGCTCCCCAGGAAGGATGCTCCGACAAGCTTCCCTCTTTGTTCGCTCTTAAAGAACATCCTTAGGGGAGGTCTTTGAGTCTTCCTGGACAGACTGTCTCTGGGAACCGAGGGCCCACGTGTCCCATGACTAATGAAGGGAGTTGTTAGAGTGGAACTGTACAGCTGTTGGGTGTGTATTGCAAAATAGGGGATCGTTGCTTCTGGGGAGACTGGGGGCTGCGGTTCGCGGTTCTGACTCTAAGGATGAGATTTGGGTCATTGAGTGGATGATGAGTCAGGAAGAGATTTTGGACTTAGGGCTGGTTCTGGAACGCATACTGCTTTGGGGGGTCGCTGGGTGCCTGCATTTTGCACGTGGGAGGGACGTGAATTTGAGAAGCCAGAGAGTAGACTGTGATGGGTAGAACCATGTTCCCCCAGAAACATTGTTGCCATCCTCATCTCCAGTACCTCAGAACGTGGCCTCATTTGGAAATAGTTTCTACAGATGTAATCTAGTTACAGTGAGGTCATTAGGTCCTAATTCTAACATCCTTATTAAAAGGGAAAATCCCAGATTTCCCCCAGGGGAGTGTGCCAGCGCATGAACTTCTCTAGGATCCTGAAAGTAGTGGAAAATAGGCAGATTAAAAAATTTTTTTGAGAAATAGAACATGAGTGGGGGAGGGGCAGAGAGAGAGAGGGTGACACAGAATCCGAAGCAGGCTCCAGGCTCTGCGCTGTCAGCACAGAGCCCAGCATGGGACTCAAACTCATGAACCATGAGATCATGACCTGAGCTGAAGTCAGATGCTTAACTAACTGAGCCACCCAGGCTCCCCTATATGGGTAGATTTTGAAATCACAAAGTCCCAGATCCAAATTCTGGCTTTTCTATTACCCTATGACCTTGAGCACACGGTATGTAAAAAGGGAGACCCCGGAACCCTTTGCGGGTTCCTGTGAGGATGCACTGAGCCTGGGGCTAAACCCCGCAGCACAGGCTGTGCACTGGGTAAGCAGGAGCTCTAATGGGAATTTCAGAGGAAGGAGCTGTGGACTGCGGCTTCCTATGTCATAGTGACTTCAACCTGAAGACGCTCTGTTGGCGCGGGGACCACTGCTCCTCACCGCTCATGGGCTTTAAAGCTGGCAGGACACACGGACGCTCTGTGTTCACCCCTGAATATTACAGATTAGGACCTGGAGGCCCAGAGAAAGAAGAAATGATCGTGCAGCCTGCCTAGCTTGCTCTCGCCTGATGTGTCCAAGAGCCAGGCCAGGTGTCCTTCTCCAGGGCCACGCTGTGTCACTTCACCATGGGGTTCTCTCGTGCTTTTTGAGAACTCTCTAGAAGATGCTCATATAAATTAAACATCGGTGCCGTCAGTGAGATCCTTTTCGGTCAGTTGCTGGGTAACTTGGGGTGGTCTGTGCCTTGTCTAGGGTCACTGATCCAGGAGAGGTGACTTTGGGAGGAAAACACTGCCAGTGAGAGGGGGCTACAGCTGGGAGTCGGGGAAGGTCCCCTGCAGTCCCGGCTTGAGCTTACATGGTCCCCCTTTCTGTTTTGGCTCCTCCTGTGCCCCGTGTCCCAGCCACTTTCAGAGCCTTGCTTGTGGGCCCTGCCTGCTGTTGACTGGAGCTTGTAAAAATAAACATTTTAATGCTTCTAAATAAGCAATATGATTTTCTACGTTGTAATATTGTAAACATGCAGCTCCAAGGGCTCTCAGAAGCCCTTTAGGACCACTTTCTACTTGCAGACCAGCGTCAGAGACTCAGGACCCGCCCTCCTGCGCGCGCGCGCACACACACACACACACACACACACACACACACACACACCCCCCCCCCCCCCCCCCCCCCCCCCCCCCCGCCCCCGCCCCCTCGGTACACGCCAGTCCAGGCCTTGCGAACATAGGTGGTTGAGTGCAAGCTGCAAGGATGCCCCGGGCGGGAAGAGGCACGATGTCAGGCAGGGCACGTTGGGCACCACGCGGGCCTGGATCTGTGCGCGCGTTTGGCAGTGATGCGCACAGAACAACTTCCTCCACGGCCTGATCTACAGCAGAGGCTCCAGTGAAGGTGATAAAAGACCCAGACGTGCCGCTACTGCGGGGTCCGGACATGTCGCCTTTCCCAATTATCCTTTTGTGTTGCTGCCGTGCACGTGAAAATGAAAAGCCTGAATTCCTTGTGCCCTTCCCATCATAACTTTGAGTTTAGTCTCAGAGGTTTCAGACCAGAGCAAGAGAGCTTGGGCCTCCAAATGTGTGCCATCATTCGCCTGGCTTTTCCTGTTCATGTCATAGCCTTGTGACACCTGCTCATCCAGCCTGGTGGTTCCCAGCCCCAGCCTGACCACAATATCTACCACCTGGGGCTCCCCTTGCCCCGCTACCGCTACCGGAAACAGGGGAGGAGCCCGAGGCCGGAAGCACTGAGGTGAGTCATCCAAGGTCACACCCTGGACTTGCCTAAGGCCAGACCACTGCTCTCAGCGACACCCAGGCCACTGTGCCTTCCTTAACTATTTGCATCCTCACTGCCACCTTTGGTGTGATTCTCTTTCCCGGCCATATCCTCCCTCCCATTTCTTCCTCTTTTACTTTTTCCTTCCTTTCATGCTAATTTTTCTCTAGGAAAGGGAACCAACTTATAGATACAGTGGGTGGGATCTGCATGGATTCTGTTAGGGTCATCTAGAACCCCCCCACCCCGATCTCCAAGTCCTACACAGCCCATGACCTGAAGTGCTGTTGTTGATACCTGCTGATACACCACACGCTGGTGGGGGGCAGGTTTTAAAGTGTTATCATCCAGACACGCCTGTGTGACTCAGTCAGCTGAGCATCTCAGGTCATGATCTCGTGGTCCTGGGGTTGAACCCTGAGTGGGGTTGAACATGGAGCCTGCATGAGATTCTCTTTGTCCTCCCCTCTCTCTGCCCCTCCCCTGTGCCTGCTCGCTTGCTCTGTCTCTCTCTCTCTCTCTCTCAGAAAAAAAAATATCATCTATGTACACTTCAGTGAAAATGAAATTATTGAGGCTGTGATAGGAGGGGAGGGAGGAAGGAACTTGAAGTTACTTGGTGACAGCTTCTGTCACCCTCTCCCCAGCCGGGAACCAGAATGAGAAGAATGAAAAGGGAAAATTCAAAAACCAAACTCGGTGTGTCTGGCTGGACATCTCTGAGGTACACTAACGTGCCGTGTTCCTTCTCCCCTCTCCAACTTCGCCCATGCTGTTCCCTCTCTCTAGAATGCTTTATCCCTCCCCACCCCCTTCTCCCGGCTAGCTTCACTTCTTCCTTCCAGACCCGGCTGTCCATTCCCCCCACCAACCTCCTGCCCTCACCACCTCACGTACCCTATGCTGGGCGTGGATGCTTCCCCTTGTTTCCATAGCATCCTGCACTTGTGTTTCTTAACACCATGGGCTCTGTATTATAATTGCTTATCTCGGGCAGCAGCAGTTGTGAAAGCTCAGGGTGGAATTAGCAACCCAGGTGGTTCCTGTTTTCTTTACGTATTTAAATCCGTAGTTGAGTCTATATTCCCCTGGGCTTCCAGGAAATTCCTTTTTGGTCTGAGTTGGGACCTGGCCCTCTCCTGAGGGTCACCAGGGAGTCTGAGAGGGTGATGTGGTGTGCTTGGAAAACTAGGGAGGGGCCTTGAATTTTAGCACATTTTGGTAGGCAGTGCTGTCCTCAGGGTCTGAGCCTGGCAAGACCCTTGCCATCCAGCAGCTCTCTGTTTTTGCGCCAGGCACAAACCACAGGTTTCTTTGCTGGGGCTGGGAAGTCCCCTTGGTGCATCTCCTGATGTGGCCTTGCTACCTCTGAGCTCCGCCAGAGACCAGGGCACAGTCCCCACTCTTGAGGCTGCAGATATCTGTCCCCTGCTCTGTGGAATGATCCTGGAGAGGTCTCTGCCCATTTGTTCCCACTCCTCTGGGCTATCTTGTTTGATCTCTCCGGGGCTAAGGCTGTCATACAACAGACAGATGTTCCCTTCACACGGCTACTCCTTTGGGTGTTGGCAATACCTTCCAGGCAAAGACATGGGGAAAGCCCAGACACATTCTAGAAGGGAAGCATCTAGGGAGAACAAGCACAAATTATTATCTCAATAAATCACCTTGCTATGCTCATTTGGATCCCCTAAGGCATTTTCTGGATCTAGTGCCTGGTCCAGTGTATACTTAATGAGGATCTGGGGGGAAAAAATGAAAGTTGAATGTTGGCTGACCCAAGGCTGCCACTTAGAGTTTCATAGGTTGTGCACTGCACAAATCTAGAGGCTTCCCTCCCCCCTCCCCCACTCAAACAGATTTGGTTCTTTATTAAGATGGTTTTCTGACATATCTGATAAAGTGTCTTGGAGAGGGGGAGCTTTTTTTCTAATTTACACACAGTCTTAAGGTATAGTCGTGGCTTCGACTAAGACTTATCCCTTTTTCTGTATTTCCTCATTCAATTCCTTAAATGTGACAAGTGGTAATTAAGAAGCAAAATATTGGGAAACCAAATCACTTTTTTTTGATACTGATACTGGGAGGTATTTCTGACTTTATTAATTTGCATAAACCACATCCAGATGCATAGTATTTTAAAATTATAAAAATGAGGGGTGCCAGCGTAGCTCAGTCGGTTAAGTGGCTGACTTCAATTCAGGTCACGATCTTGTGGTTCATGGATTCAAGCCCCATGTTGGGCTCTGTGCTGACAGCTCGAAGCCTGGAGCCTGTTTTGGATTCTGTTGTCTCCCTCTCTCTGTGCCTCAACCCGGCGCACTCCCTCTCTCTCTCAAAAATAAATAAAACACTAAAAATATTTTAAAATATGAATTACAAAAGAGTAGGAAATGGAGAGAACCAGAGGTCAAAGTGATCATCAAATCCAGTGTGCCACAGAGTCCTGAGAACCACATCCGCGTAGCTCATGGCTATTTATAACTCTGAGTGTGTGTAGGGGTCTACAAGCAAACTGTCCCAAAATCTGGTGTTTTTTTTAAAAAAAAAAAGTTTATTTGTCTTTATCTGTTTCTTGGTGCAGTCTGATCCCATTCCTCCTGATTTTGTTTTCAGCAGTGATTGAAAGTTAAGTGTTTCTCCAACCTGATTAGTGTGGTTTGCATCGCTGTGAAGACAGTTCTCAAAGGACACCTTTGTGCTCTTAAATTAAATGCTCTCCTTTTTTGTCGCCCCCCACAGATCATATGACAAAGGAGCCAGTGGAAGACACGGACCCTAGCACTTTATCCTTTAACGTGGTAAGTGACACAGTTTACATTAATAGCGATAACTCTTGTTATTTTTTCCCCTTTGTTGCATTTTCATGGCTCAGTATTTTCATGAAGATCAGAAACCCCAGAGTAAGGTTTCCCCAAGATAAATTTCTTTATCACCGTGTTCTCTGTGATGTAATAAACTTTGGGTTTCTCCAAGACTAAAAATGGTATTAGGCTCTGCTCTTGTTTGGCGCATGCCAGAAGTGATCTGCTTAGATTACGTCAAGTCTTTGTATACTTGTCTGCCTCCTTTTAACTTCCTCTTCCGAATTCAAAATATCTCATGTGAGATTGAAGGAAGCAACAGGTCTGCCTTCCAGTAACTGGGGGCTCCCTACTCACCAGATAAGCATACACTATTTGATTTGCATGTGTTACTGCATTTAATCCCTGCAAACGCCCTATCAGGTAAGCACTGCCTGTTTTACTGAAGCACAGAGGGTGAGGTTAAGTAGCCCAACTTGGAAGCGGCCGGGGCGAATTCAAACCCATTCAAACCCAGCGGCTGGCTTCAGGTCCCTGCCCTGCCTTCCCATAACCACTCGGTACTATGTCTACTGTTTAAGGTTTACCAAGGATTTTCATACATCATTCTTCATCCTTCAGATAAGCTGTGAGATAGTAGGACAGCTCTTCCCCTCCCCCCGCCCCCCTCCCCATGCTACAGATGAGGCAATGAAAGTTAACTGATTTGTATAAAATCACCCAGACTGGAGCCCTGCTCTCCTATGTGGTACCGCCTCTTGTTTTATGATCCAGTCAGTGCCTTTGGCAACATTTCATGTGTTATTTATGTATATAGTATGTGACATGTTTTCTTTCTTCCTTTCTTCTTTCCTTCCTTCTTTCTTCCTTCCTTCCTTTCTTCCTTCTTCCTTCCTTTCTTCCTCCCTTCCTCTTTTTTTTCTTCCTTCTTCTTTGTTTTTTTTAATTTTTTTTTAATGTTTTTTATTTATTTTTGAGAGTCAGAGAGAGACAGTGTGAGCAGGGGAGGGTCAGAGAGAGAGGGAGACACAATTCGAAACAGGCTCCGGGCTCTGAGTTAGCTGTCAGCACAGAGCCTGACACGGGGCTCGAACCCACAGATAGTGAGATCATGACCTGAGCCGAAGTTGGACACTCAACCGACTGAGCCACCCAGGTGCCTCTCTTCCTTCCTTCTTCTTTTTTCCTTCCTTCCATCCCTCCCTCCTGCCTGCCCTCCCCCCTTTCTTTTTTTCTTTCTTTCTTTTCTTTCTTTCAGCATTTGGAGGAGAGGAACTGCCCAGTCATGAACAATTTTTTTTTAAAGAGTTTATTGTCAAGTTGGTTTCCATATAGCACCCAGTGCTGATCCCCACAAGTGCCCTCCTCCATGCCCATCACCCCCCTTCCCCTCCCCCCCACCTCCATCTGCCCTCAGTTTGTTCTCAGCATTCAAGAGTCTCTCATGGTTTGCCTCCCTCCCTTTCCCCCACTATTTCTCCCCTTCTTCTCCCCCACGGTCCTCCGTCAAGTTCCTCCTAATCCTCCTGTACATGCAAACATATGGTATTTGTCCTTCTCTGCCTGACTTATTTCACTCAGCATAACACCCTCAAGGTCCATCCATGTTGCTACACATGGCCAGATTTCATTGTTTCTCATTGCCATGTAGTATTCCATGGTATAGATAAACCACATCTTCTTGATCCATTCGTCCATTGATGGACACTTAGGCTCTTTCCGTGTTTTGGCTGTTGTTGAGAGTGCTGCTATGAACATTGGGGTGCATGTGCCCCTATGCATCAGCACTCCTGTATCCCTTGGGTAAATTCCTAGCAGTGCTATTGCTGGGTCATAGGGGAGTTCTAGTGTTAATTTTTTGAGGAAACTCCACACTGAAATGATGCTCTGCATCCCTCCTCATCAGGGAAATACAAGTCATGAACAATTCTGATGAACTAATTTAGTCACAATGATATAAATGCATAAACAATATAATTAAACAGTATAATTCAATGTAATGTCTTTAAGTCTTTGGTGATTCACGTGACACCACAGTGTCTCAAAGTCCTGAGATGTTTGTTCTCATGTCTTTCATCAGCATTGCACAGTTTTCTAAGTGAGTACAGGGGACAGAGCTGGACACACGGTGGAAATCAATATGAAAAAATCCCCCGCCCTGTGTCCCATAAGGACGGGACGCGGAGAGGCCCTGTGGATCTTTGCTGTTATCCCTGGTGCTGTGGTCCCTTACGAGAACCCTCGGCCTCTCCTCTACTGGGTGTTACTCAGTTGGTCCTTCCTGTCCCCTCCCCAGTCCCTGGCCTGTGCTCCTCTGGGATTCCCACTCTCTTCCCGACATCAAGTTCTCCCCTCTTGTTTTGGGTCACAGCTACCTCTGATCACTTCTTCATGCTGGGCCAGAGTGATTTTTCCAAGCCTTCCCTGGGTCGGTTTGTGGGGGTGGCTGCACCAGGGGACCACGTAGTGGGTGACCTAAATGCCCCAAGCTTCTGGAGGTGAGAAGCCAAACCCAAGTATTGGCAGGGCCATTTCCCCCCGAAACCCGTGGAGGAAGAACCCTTTCTCCTCTCTGCCAATCTGTGAGGTTGTCGGCAACCCGCAGTGGCCCTTGGCTCGGAGCTGCACCCCTGCGTCCCCCCCCCCACCAGGGTTGGCACGTGGCTGAATTCCCCCTGTGGCTCTGTGTCTCTGAGTTTCATCTCTTATAAGGACACAGGTCATCTCAGACTGAGGACCTGCTCCCCCCCCGCCGCAGTGTGATCTCATCTTAACTAGTCCTTCATCTGTAGTGACCCCATTTCCGAATGAGGTCACATTCAGAGGTGCTGGGCATTAGGACTTTGACAGGTTTTGTGGGGGGAGCTGCACATCAAGCCATCACATGGCAGCTGCTCCTGGGATTAAGCCTGTACTCTTCAAAGTGCCACATGCAGTCCCCATGACCTCATCTCAGCATCCCTCCATAGCGAGCCAGGCGTGTGTAGCTATTTTCTGCTCCCAAAACACCCCATCCATGCCTTCTCACCTTCCTAGGATAGGATTTTCCTCGCTGCTCCATCCAGCGAGGAAAATCTCCCTGCTTCCTCACCTAATGAACTCCTATATTTCCTCCTCTTCTCAGTTCAAGCCTCCCTGACCTGTGACACTTTCTTTGCCTCACCCTGGGGTCCCCTTCTCCACAGCCCAACTCCTACTTTTGATTGCACTGGGCTGAAATCATTTAGCTTGTCTGAGTTTCTACAAGACTGTGCTGAACATCTTACCATGCACAGTTGGAGGGGCCAAGCTTCCCACACACCTAGAATGGCACCCATTAAATCATTCCCACCTCGCTTCCCGGGTCTTCCATGTCAAATGGCTCCATCATGTCATATCCAGCCCTGTCCCCCTCCAGCGTGCATCTCTGCTTCAGGCCTGACGGGTCTTCTACACCTGTCACTCTCCAGACCACCTGGACTTGCTCCTCTGTGTCCACCATCTTTAATTACTGTGTTTCTTTCTCTTGGTCACCTGAGCTCTTGAGCATTCTCCAGCTCAAGTGTCTGTCTTTCCAGGAAACCTGCGTTTGCTCTGGCCTGTTCGTTCATGCAGACTTTTGGTAGATGTTCAGTTAACACTGAGTCAAAATAAGGGGTTGCAAAGATCATAGTTCCTTCTCTCGAAAAACTCTGAGTTTGCTCCAGGAGACAAACAACTATATACTTTAACAACAGCCTGATAAGTGTTCTAGGACAGGGGTGTGTCCCATGCTCTGGAGAACAGAGTGTCAAGAACAATTTAGTCTGAGGGAAAACTTGACTTTTTACGTTCTCCATAATTGATTGATTTCTTCTGTGGAAGAGGAGTTCGAGGCTTCTAGAAGTTCTGCAACTTCACTGTTCAGCTCCAAAGAAGCTGTAAGGAAAGAGATTTAAAACAAAATCTTTGGTTCCACATTTGTTTCTTCTCTGTCACAGGAGGACATGTGTGAGACCTAGCAGCAAATTGAAAGGTGTAACTTTCTTTTTTTTTTTAAGCCTGGAGGGTGTGCACCCGTAGGCCCAGATGGAGGGTGGGAGCTAAAATAGGGGTTAGGGGACAAGATAGGGAGACTGGGCACATTCTCACTCCTCTTACATAAGTCATCAGAGAATGACTACAGTCTTTAATCGGAAGTCAGAGTATCCAGAACGTTAGATACCTGCGTGGAGGTACAAACAAAGACATAGGTGATTGCAAAAGCCTTTGCTACTTTGAATTCCTTCCAATGGATTTGCCCTCATCCAGGGCATTGAGGAAAATGTGTGTGGTCATTCATAATGAGTAGATCTTTGTGAATCTTTGTGTAGGTCAGTAGGGATGGTTGGCTTTTGAATGCTGTCCCAGTCAGCCCAGGACAAGGCTCTCCAATAGTGAGTCCCACCCGGCACACAGGCTTATTGGCCCAAACGAATATCACAGAAATGACGACAGGATACGGGTCTATCCCCATAATTCATGAAAACATAAAATTGTTCCTCAATTTTAAACTACAGGAAATAGGGGAAATAACTCTGCAGAAGAGACAGGAAGTGTGGTTTGGTGGTCAGAGCTGAGGAAATTGAGAAGCCTTATTCTGTCTCATGTTCCAACATTAATCTCTTGTCAACCTGGATTTCATTTTTTATGAACTAAGAATAAAAACAAGCAATGGGTCAGGCCCGTTGATAAACCCACAGTTAGAAACTTGCAAGGTTTTAAACTAAAATCATGACTTCCCCCAAACAAAGCTTTCTTTTCACTTTGATCTTACAATTGACTACGGCGTTTAAAAATAACTCTCCTCTTTTGTTGATTTCCACAGTCAGACAAATACCCCATTCAAGATACGGGACTCCCTAAAGGTATGTACAGTTATAATATAACTACTTGAACTTGTGATTATTTCAATATCTTGAACAAAGCACCAGTCAAAGTAATTTCTCATTATGTAAAAGTGTAGAACAGAAACATACCGATAATTTAGCTGATGATTTGTTGATCTCAGGCGTGGATTTTCGTATTCAAGTCTATGAGTTATTTCATTAGAAATTAGACATTAAATTCCTGTGGTGTTTTTCACATGCATAAAATGAAGATAGCCAGGACTCCAGGTTGCAAGTGACAGAAATCTACTGTTAATTTTAAAAAAGGGAGGAGGGACCATTAGGGTCTTTGGACACTGATGAGTCCAAGCACTTAAACGATGCTTGCAGGCTCAGCCTCTCTGTCTCTTTCATGGCTCTGTCTTCATCTGTGTTGGCTCCAGTTTTGGGTAGACTTTCCATTCATGATGGAAAAGGTGGTCACCAATGCCCGTGGCTTTACACAACACCCCTCATGATGGTGGAGCAAGGTGGGGGGGGCTTTCCTCCAACACCCACATAATTCTGGGGATGACTGTCATATGGGAAGTTTGGGTCACATGGCCATCTGTGAGTCCGCTGTTGCCATCAGGAGGATGAAGGAGGCATTGGTCAGGTCTGAGCCTTGAGGTTGGGTAGGGGAGAGCGCAGAGTTAGTTCTACCCAAACCACAGGAAGGAGGGTTCTCTTATTAGACTGAGGGGCAAAGGATGCTTGTCAGGCCCCAAAGCAGAAAACAAACAAACAGAAACCCACCCAGAAACCTATCTATTGTAATTCACAAGCTACTGTTTTAGGCTCAGTACAGACCAGCCATTTTTCTGATTTCTCCTGTGGGGTGGTCTGCAAAGCTGTATCTGTCATGGAGACCGAGCTGCTGCTCGCCCGACTGGAGCATTTCCTCGTGCTCTGCTGACCACCCGGAGTGAGGGGGGTGGAGGGCTATCAGATCTGACCAGCTTCAGAGATGGCAGGGGCCCCCGGCTTCCTGGAGAGGTAGGGCTTCCCAGCACCCATGAACATGGGTTTTCCTGGCAGTCTTTGTGACGGGGTGATCATAGGGTCACCGGACTGGAGAGTTGGGAGGGAGCTCCCTGCCGGGGCCCACCTGGGATTGAGTCTAGGGTGTTGCCAACGCTCCTCTCCCCTCCATTCCTTATTCAGCAGACTCTTCTCCTTGCACCCAGAGATTACACTGTTAGAGTTTCATTCCTTTTTCCCCCTGTGCATGTCCTAGGCAGCGATGTAGGGAAAAGAGACCAAAGGCCAGGATTGAGTCCAAATCCTGGCTATAGTAGGGGAGCCTTCTGGCTAGCTCACGTCCTCCTTTCCCCTGTGGGTGAAGGACTTCTAAGTGTCCTGAATCCTCCAGACTGTGATTTGACAATTTAATTCAGCAAGAAGGTGAAAGGTGTAAGCCAGGAAGCCAGGGACACATGGGAAGCAGCCTTGAAGGGGTTTCTTAGACTTCAGGGGCACAGAAGAATCATCTGGGAGTGTGGGGGGGGCTCACTCATAATGCGGATTCTGGGCCCGGCTGCTCTGAAATCACGATGTGCTAGGTCTAGGGTCAGGCTCAGGCACCTGTGTGTAATCGCACACCTGAGGGGTTGGGATGCAGACCTCACTTTAAGAGACTGCCTGGGGCGCCTCATGGCTCAGTTGGTTGACCATCGACTCTTGATTCAGCTCAGGCCATGATCCCAGGGTTGTGGAATCGAGCCCTGCATCAGCCTCTGCAGTGCTTGGGAATTCTCTCCCTCTCCCCTGTCTCTCTACCCTGTGCTTGCTCTCCCTCTCTCTCTTTCCAAAAAATAAATAGAGCCTGCCTAAGATGTTTCAAGGATTTGGTGTGTCCACCAGGGGGGCACATAGACCAAGAGAACAGAACTGAAGCCAGACCACCACCTGCTGGACTCTGAGTGCCCGAAGCAGGTGATTCTATATCTCCCGGTCCCAGTTACCTGCCTGTAGTGTAGGAGGACAGTGTTATCATCCCTCGCATGGTGCTCGTGAGAATTCAGTGATATGGGGGCACCTGGGTGGCTCCTTCAGTTAAGCGTCCCATTTGGGCTCAGGTCATGATCTTCCCATTCGTGGGTTCGAGCCCCACATCAAGCTCTGTGCTAACAACTCGGAACCTGGAGCCTGCTTCAGAGGCTCTGGCTCGCTCTCTCTCTGCCCCTCCCCTGCTCATGCTCTATGTCTCTCTCAAAAATAAATAAATATTTTTTAAAAAATTCAGTGAAATGAGCACAGGTGAGCATCAGATGGTGGAGGAAAATCTGGCAACAAAAAAAGTAGGAAAACTCAGGGTCGAGGATGCTTTCCTAGCGCCGTGGCAAAAGTGGCACCGTTTGAGACAGCCACAGAGCTGCAGTGACTCTGAGACTGCAGTGTCATGGTTCGATCTAAAGATGGTTTTTAACACCCTTAAACATGACTTCCTGTTTTGGGGGGAAAAAAAAAGACTGGTTGCTTAGCAGCCTCCTAGTACAGTAACTGTACTATTGGGTTTCTCCTAGAATTTGAGGTTTACAAAACCCTAATCCAAATGGTAATGAATTTACAAGGAACATGACTGTGAAAACCACCTTTGTAAGAAATGTGACTAGATCTTTCTTCTATCCTTATTCACGGACGATGATATTATCTATTATTATTATTTTAATATCAAAGCGAGCATGCAAGTGTGAGTGGGGGAGAGGGGCAGAGGGAGAGAGAGAACCGTAAGCAGACTCTTAGCACAGAGCCCAATGCAGGGCTCAATCCCACGACCTGGGATGATGACCTGAGCCAAAATCAAGAGTTGGACGAGTTAGACACTCAATTGACTGAGCCACCCAAGCACCTGGAGAACAATATTATTAAGCACATAATTTCTCATCTCCAAAGAAACACATCATCTTATACTTAATGTCCAGAAGTTACAAAAGTTATTCCAATGTTTGTATTCAATAATATTTATGATTTAATAACTGCTAGTATTTAAAAAAATGTTTAATATTTATTTTTGAGAGAGAGAGAGCACAAGCAGAGGAGGGGCAGAAAGAGATGGAGACACAGAATCCGAAGCAGGATCCAGGCTCTGAGCTGTCAGCGCAGAGCCTGACGTGAGGCTCAGACTCACAAACCATAAGATCATGACCTGAACCAAAGTCAGACACTTAATTGATTGAGCCCCCCAGGTGCCCCTGCTAGTATTTTTTTTAAACATACCAATGAGGCCAATATAATCATTAAACATGTGTGGTACTTTTCTCACTGTAAATGTTTTTAGGGAAAGAAAACCCATATGAATCAGAGACGACTTTATAGATTTCAAAGTAAATGCAATCTAATGAAGTCCAGAGTCAGACTTACAGTGTTTAAGTGAATTTGAGGGGGTCCTGCTTTATTTAACAGAGGATTTATCTATAATTAGCCTGAACAATTTCCATATGGTTAAAAAGTCTTCAAAATTTATTTTCTTAGGCAGATTCAGTATGTTTCACAAAACCTTTATTATACTTCTAGAATATTCCTACTGCCTTCACGATAAAACTGTTTCTTAACACGGTCCAGACCAGAGTGGTTCTGAATAATGTAGTTTTACCATTAATCAACTGTGGAAATCTAGTGCGATTTCAGTGATCACCATGTTTTTGAGATGAAACATGTTGTTTAACTTGTGTTCATATCAGAAACAAATGTGCAACTTCCTCCTCCCCTGATTTTAGAGATTTCAGAGGGTTCATTCTATCAGGGTTCATCTGTCAGGCATCTTTTATGAGAGCTTTACTGGGAGAGTCTGCAGGCACTAAACTCAAGACTAATATAAGAGTGAGACTTATTTTATTAAGTCTTATTTATAATTTTTCATTTCAGAATAGTTGATGCATTAGTTTTAGGTATATATCATAGTGCAGAAGAGTGGGGAGGGATCCTCAAAAAATTAAAAATAGAGATACCATATGATCCAATAATTCCACAGCTGGGTATTTATCCAGAGACAATGAAAACACAAATCCGAAAATATCTATGCACTCTTATGTTTATTACAGTATATTTACAACTGTTAAGATATGGAAGCAACCCAAATATCCATTGACAGATGGATAAGGAGGGTGTGTGTATGTGTGTGTATATGTGTGTGATAGAATATTACACAGCCATTAAAAAGGATGAGATTGTATGGTTTTTGATGTGAATGAGGCTTATTTTATATCACAGAGTTCCTTATATCTTGTAGAAACTACTGGATTAAGTGTTCTGAAGGGAGTGTAACTCTTCACATTTTGAGAAAAAAATGTGGGAAGAGAATTCTGATTTTTTTGGGTCACTATTCCCAGTGAGGGGAAATTGGACATAAATACATCATAAATCAATGAAGCTTTTATCATCTTTTTCTCTAGTATTACTGCTCTTTTCTCTTATTCAAAATATTTTATGGTGAATTTTAAGCTAATGAGAAGTAAAGCAAACTAATTCTGTTGTTCCTGAATTTGAGGAATTTGAACTCAAGCATAGATGATATTTGGGGACCTTTTAGGACAATTTAACTAAATGTAGAAGTAGTGGTTCCACTTGAAAACGTTAGGAAAAAATAAACAAATGTGAAAGAACTCACTAAAATAAATCAGAAATAAAAATGTTTGCCCTAGGGGCACCTGTGTGGCTCAGTCGATCAAGTGTCCAACTTTTGATTTCAGCTCAGGTCATGATCTCACGGTTTGTGAGCTCAAGCCCTGAGTCTGGTTCTGCGCTTGCAGTGCAGAGCCTGCTTGGGATTCTCTCTCTCCCTCTCTCTCTGCCCTCTCTCCCATGCATGTTCTCTCTCAAAATAAATAAACATAAAAAAATAGTTTGCCCTAAAACTAGCAAGCCAATTCGCTCTATTTTATACGATCTCTCACCTCGTTAGATTGACAGCATTTTGCTGATAGGCTTCCTTGTTCTGATAGGAAACTAAACACCCCTCCTACCTGCATGATTTGCTGTGTCTTGGTCCTGCTTAATCC